GAGCAAGATATGCTTGAAAAAATGACTGACCACAAATATGGGTTGATTCATATCCGTAACATAGAAGTCCTTTCATCAATGGCTTAGATTATTTCAGTCATTATATCATTTGGATCACATAAACATTTTTCATTTTTGTTAAGATTAAATGAGAAATTTGCATTTAAGTATGCTAACTTATAATTAAGAGTTGTAATCTATAAATAAGAATCTTACATATTATCCGACATATCATGATTTTCTATGTTAGTGCACAAAAAAAAAAGTCTATCATTAAAATTTTATGCGCGAGAATAAATATTAAAATAGACTGTAAACTATTTATGAGAGGTCATTTTAGTCCCAAACTACACTCCATTCTAATAATAAACAATTCCACAAATGGACTATTTTGGATTATAGTTAAACAGCTAAGGAACTGAATTAATCACATACATATCTAGAATTAAAACCGGCCCCCAATAAATAGTCCAATGATCATTTTGATCTTTTGCTCTTCTATCCTCAAACTTGATTTACTTTTTTTTTTATTTAAATCCATCTTCACAAATATTTGTTATTCTCATTTTTTATCTCACTATCTTTCTATTCAAGTTGTTTCCTTATCAATCCATCATCTAAATTCATAAACCCCTCCCACCCTATTTTCGAATATCAAGAGGATTTTAAACGGAGAAAACACGAGTAAAGTAAATTTTCATTATTTTCATCGAAACAAGATTATGTTATTGCAAGTATATGATAAAGTCATGCATCAAGATTATTATGCAAACTATAGAGATCTGACATAAGTTACATATATATATCAATTGACCTACATATCATATAATACTATCAATAGGTCAAGCTACCAACAACCTTGACATAAATAATGACCCGATTAAGAGCTGAATCGAACAAGATTATCGGCCTATTTCACTGACCACATAAAAATGTAAAGTAAAATTCCCTAAGTTTATACCCCACAGGCAATCCATTGCTTCCCAAAAAAATTTTTGTAAGAGAAAAAAAGTCAGTTATAAATAAACATATCAGATAAGCACAGTGGTGTCTTCATTAACAAAAAAACATCCATAACTCTTCGCAACTCTACCAGATTAGAAACCAAATAAATGTCCCAACAAAATCTTGATGTATTCCCCCTCCCCCTCCCCCTCCCCTCATTGTTTTACTCCTATTATGCTTACATTTAGACAACAAAGAGGCGTCTGAGAAGCATCAATCGTTGTATAAGGAGAAATAAAACCAGAGCAGATAGATATGGAGAGAGAGAGCGCAGAGATTTCAAGAGGGGGATAAATGATATGTTTTGAGAGGCGAGAGTACCAATAAATTTCCAAGATAAATCTACAAAAGTATTGTTAGTTTGTTTTTTTCAACATTATCATTACTATAATCACCCAAGCTGTCAATAAAAACTACAGAAAGATTAAATTATAATCATTCTATAATCATTGCACAATGGTTATAGTAAATGTCCTTGGGTTCCATAAAAAGAAATTTAAATAGAGCTTAGCCAAAGCATTTTGATAAAAAATGGACCAATAGATTAGTTTGGTAATTTTTTCTTATCAACAACAACAACAACAAGCCTTCATCCCACTAAGTGAGGTTCGCTACATGAATCTTTTTTTTTTCATTGCTTCCTATTGTAAGTCAAATTTTCATTTAATTCTAATAAATTAAAATCATTTTTTATACAATATGCCCAATTCTTTCCATAAAAAGAACTTAGCTAAAGCATTTTGATAAAAAATGGATCAATAGATTAGTTTGGTAATTTTCTTCTTATCAACAACAACAAGCCATTATCCCACTAAGTGGGGTCCGCTACATGACTCTTTTTTTTCCATTGCTTCCTATTGTGAGTCAAATTTTCATTTAATTCTAATAAATTAAGATCATTTTTTATACAATATGCCCAAGTCTTTCTAGGTTTATCTCAGCCTTTATAACATAAGTCGAATTTAAAATATCTACTCTCCTAACTGGATCATCAGATGATCGATGTTTAATGTGATCAAACCATCTAAGATGACTCTCACTAATTTTGTCCGCCGCTGGAGCTACACAAACCCGATCACGAAAATATTCATTTCGGATTTTGTCTCTAAGAGTAAAGCCACTCATCCACCTAAGCATTATTATCTCGGCAACACTTAACTTTGTTTTATGCTTCTCTTTTAAAGCACAACATTCTGTGCATTAGAACATTAGGTAGAACAACAAATCGATAGTCCAGTTGATGCCTTCTCAATTGTCATGACACTACTTTCCCTAGCCACCGATGCCTTTCCGGTGAGCTCCCATAATAATTTAACTTTCGGATCAAGCATGCGAGTCGGCTTGTAAACCTAGTGTCATCATTGTGAGTCGAGTTCGAGCGCGCCATTCAAGCTTGAGTCGAAATCGAGCTTGCATTTTGACAGACAAGCCAAGCATTAGTTAGGCATGAATTTGAGCTCAGATCGACTCGTTTACACCCCTATTCTTAAGCATTCAAATGATTTAAAGTGCAAACTACTTGCTATCTGAAAAGTTCACTTTAAAATTGAAATCTTAGAAAAACACAATTGAATGGTACTCAGAATTCTATAAAAAACAAACTAAATAGATTGGATGATGACTAAAGCATCACGTACCACCATAAGCCAAAGAAAAAAGTTTGGCATTTTTCTTATTATGAAAAGTCATTTAGAAAAGAAATATATCAATACAAATTGTTCATACTCACAGCACAAGAGCCAAATCATCACAATGACTCGGATAAAGTGAAGTGTCACTTAACCACCATAAACCAACCAAAAAGATTGCAATCTCCAGCAAATTTCTTTTAACGTGTACGCTAAATGATAATGATATTATTTTATTATATATTAACTCCATCATCTTCTATAATATATGCCAGTATTAAAAAGCGAACCGGGATTGATAAAATCTCATTCACTCAAAAAATTTATTGATTCCCATGGTTAAATCACGATCTACCTAGACTAACTCTCATTTACAAATATACTCCCATGTCCAATCAAGTAAATAAATGGGATTAATTTGTTCCTTCGTTGCAATCGTGATAATGTCATCCATTCTAAAATTAACTTAATTATTGTCGAGAAGCTTTCATAATGTCATCCATTTTTGTTGATTATGATAATGTCATCACCAAAAAGCATACACCAAGGTACATCCTCCTGTAGATGTCCAGTAAGACCATCCATAACTAAAGCAAAAAGATATGAGCTTAAAGCCGATCCCTGATGTAATCCAACA